ATTACCAGGACCTGTGCTCCTGCTGCACTGTAGCCCCCAAGATGCTCTTGGGGCTCTTGAAAGGATATGACTCCATTCCCATCCCAGCCTGTGCCCTTCAGATGTTCATCTTTGCAGCTGTCTCAGATGCCGAATGTTGTCTCTTGGCAGTCATGGCCTACGATCGGTACGTGGCCATCTGCCGCCCATTGCACTATGCAACTGCCATGCCACAGCATCTCTGTCATCTCCTGGTAATTGCTTCTTATGCAGCAGGGATGACCTCAGCAGCCATCCATTCCAGCATGGCCTTCCGCCTGCCCTTCTGCCGTGCGAATACTTTGGACCATTTCTTCTGTGATATCCCTCTAGTTCTGGCTTTGGCTTGTGCAGACACACAAATTAACCAGATCTTACTCTTAGTAGTGTGTGGAACTATACAGAGCATCACCCTGTTGACCATTACAACTTCTTATGGAATTATCCTCTGGACTGTGGGAAGAACAGGATCATTTCGTGCTATGTCCACCTGTGGATCTCACCTTATAGTGGTCGGGATGCTTTATGGTACTCTTCTTTTCATGTACCTACGGCCTGATGATACCTATGCTCCACAAACAGACAAGATAACTTCTGTCTTCTACACAGTAGCCATACCTACCCTCAACCCTGCCATATACAGTCTTCGTAACACTGAGGTCAAGCAGGCAGTCAAGAAGAGGTTCAGCAAGATATGTCATCAAACATAAAAGCAGCACAAATATAAAGGGAGGAAAGACGCTTTCCCAATAGTTTAGAATACCCTTCCTAGCCTAGTGGATTCCATAGACTCCATGGTTGCAAATTGTATATCTGAAGATGATAGGAAATGGACTCTAACACCTCTAGAGGCTAAGGAAGCCAAATACCAAATGTATCTAAGAGGAAGTTCTGTTGAAGCAGCAAGACCTGGATTTTTGTGGAAAAGATGGCGAACTGAAGATGGCACCACAAAAAGCAGAACTAATGACCACTGAAGAATGATGAGCTGGTGAGTAGAACATCTCTTCATAATTCTTCGCCAGAGAAGGACATGACTTGAGATCACACAACAGCAATCTCTAGCAGGTTTAGAGCATAGAAGACAAACTAAATCCATCTTTTCGCTCAAACTATGGTCAATGGTTTTCTGAAGGACACTAGATTTGCATACTTCCTTTTATAATAACTTCTGGAAATTGCTTTAACTACTATTTAGTTATTAGGACTACTTTGGCTAGATGGGGGAGGAGGTTAATGATTGTCACTATCACTGTTAGTGTAGTTATTCTAGAGGAGGAGGAAGAGGAGAAGGAGGAGGAGGAGGAGGAGGAGGAGNTGCATTTAACCACTGCGCCATCTCGGCTCTCTGACTATTAATAGCTAAAAGACATCCTTGTTGGAGATGTTCACAGCAGCGGCCTTGTGAAACCTTGGGTGAATAATATTGAGATCCATTTAACAGAATAACAGTGTTTGAAGGGACCTTGGAGGAGTCCAACCTCCTGCCCAAGGAGGAACCTTATACCATTTTAGACAAATGGTTTGCCCAATCTCTTCTTAAAAGTCTCCAGGGTTGGAGCACCACAACTTCTGGAGGCAAGTCATTCCAGTGATTAATTGCTCTGTCAGGCAACGTCTCCTTATTTCTAGGTTGGTTCTCTCCTTGATTAGTTTCCATCCATTGCTTCTTGTCCTGCCTTCAGGTGCTTTGGAGAATAGGTTGAGCCCCTCTTCTTTGTGGCAGAGGGTCCTTAGGGTTTGTTATTAGACAGAGACAGTGTATGTCAGCTGAATTGATCATCTTCATTAGGAGATAGATCAGGAATGTGCAACTAAACAATCAATCATTTTTTATTGATTGACCAGCATTACAAATAAAAGCATTAAAAACAATAATAATAAAAAATAAAAATAAATGGCAGACAATATATTACGATTGGCGGTGGATTCTCAGTGCGCAGTTAGAGTCTGCCTAATTTTGCCTATAGCATAATAGAATTTGGCCACATTCAGATAAACTACTTCATACCGATCTGATAACAGTAGTAGTATGTAGAAGAGATCAGTATTTCCCAGATGTTGCATTATATAAGGTGTTATAAATTGAGTCTCTGAGCCCTTATAGAAGATTTAGTAGAGCAGGACATGAGCTCTAGTTTCAATGACCCCCTGTCCACAGGGACACAGTTTCTGCTCCTGTGGTATTTTATCGGCCCTCTAAAACTGCTATGGGAAATGCATTGCAGTGTGCTAAGATTAATGCCCTTCAAATTTTGTCGACAGTTATTCAATATAAATATCTCACTGCTTTAAAAGTCGGAGTATGACTGCTCAGAAAAGCATTCTTTGGAAGAGCAGTCCAATGTTGGATTTCCAGATCTTTAGTACGTTATTTAAGTGCACTCATACCCCATTATTAAATGCACTTCCCTGGAGAGACCAAGATACTGGAGTTTTTCTGAGATGGTCCTGAACTATATATTCTATTCAATAAGGAGGGAACTCAAAGCTCACAATCTTAGTTTTACTATAACTGAGCTCTTCAGAGCAATAACCAGCCAGAGCATTCAAGGCTCATCTAAGTCCAATTTGTGTTTGGGATAAAAGTACTCATCAGCATACAACATGCTACTAGTTAATTTGGGGGGAATGATCCTCTAACTGGTTTAATTGAGCCATTAATGGATTTACACAGAGATTAAACAACAGAGGCTCTAGAATGCATTCTTGCCTTACTCCTCGATAGGCTTACTACTTGGTAGTAGCCTTGTGTGCTGCTTCGAACTTTGATTCTAGAGTAACCTTACAAATATTGTGCATAAGCAATAATAGTGTCTGTCAATGGTTGTATGTAGAAGCATAGACCAGAGCCTTTCTCTGGGTACAGATCTGAAATCAATAAATGCAGTATATAATGGTGAACTTGGTTCGAACATGAATTTTTTGACCAGTTGTTGAAGAATAGCAATAGCACTTAGCACTTAAACATATATATATATATATATGTATATGTATATATATATATAATGTTATATTTATGCTGATAAATAAATAAAGGGAGACTAGTATAGATCTATTTCAAGCTATTTAGCTCTCATCAGCTAGCCATACCCAAATTTGGGAATCGAATACTAGAATACTATCTATACTAGTCTCCCTTTATTTATTT